AGGAGCGGATCCAGCGAGAGCTTGATGGGGCGACGCGGAATGAAAAAGTTTTTCAGGAGTTGTGGTAGTAGAGGCGGCGCAACTATAATGACATGTGAATAATAAAATAATATTTAATAATAATAAAGCGGTACTGAGCTGCAGTGGAAACGCAAACCGTGCCAAGCCGAACCGTGCCGTACTGAGCCGAGTCGTACCACGCAGTGGAAAAGCACCATTGGAACCTCAACCGAGGTGGTACTAAAAAAAGTAGCAGGTACCAGGTACTGTACCCAGTGGAAAACCCCCCAAAAGTGAACCGTACTGAGCCGTACCGTGCCGTACCATGCAATGGAAAAGCGCCATAACTTTAAGTTAATCGACAACGAATTGTGACTCCCGGGAAATACGGGACGTCTGGTCACCTTATCCCTACCCCTTCGGGTGCTGAGGCCATTGTTTCAGATCGCTAGTTCGCGTTTTGGTAGCCTATCCATCCACTGTAGCTGCCAAACTGAGACTAGATATGCAAACGTCCCTTATCTGATTGCAATCCAATGACAGGGACGCACATTCTGAAGGACAAGACAGTAGCCTATAGGATGTATTTTGAATGTCGGGTAGTCCTCAAATAACATTATAGTCCCGTCTCGTCTCGTTAACGAAGACGCGGCATAAATTTCGTCGTAGTTTGTAATCATCGGATATTAGTTTTAGCTCGTCAACGTCTCGTCTTAGTCACAGAAAAAATTTTCCTTAACGAATATTTTTCGTCATCGTCTTCGTTGACGAAATTAACACTGGTCACAAATATCATGTATGTTATAGTGTAATAGTGATAGATGCAGATTTTTCTCACCTGTCTACCCAGTGGTAATTGGCCTTCTCCACCCCTGCATCCTCTTTGCTAACCCCCGGTACATGGGTTCAAGGGACTTCTCTCTCTCAGACTGCAACATCACCCAGGAAACAATCATCCAATTTTCGTTCATAACTGCATAACTTGACATGGTGCCAGATGACAAGGTCACTTTTCGTGCCACCTTCCTGGTGTGGTCAGACCGCAAGACCTGTCCAAAAGTGCCCTGCAGGAGTGTAGTGATAGCTGGCTCTTGGCGCCGGTACTCATCAATGAGGCAGTCAGTCAGGTAGTGAGCAGAGACAGAGACTTCACACCACCCATCTGCATCCTCATAGGCTCCAAAAGACTGTGGCATGTCATCCTTCCTCACAAGGTGACCAAGAGTCATCTGCCTATAAACCCCAGCCTCAGCATCCCAGATGTTCTGTATGCTATGAAGGTATGCCAGGTGAGCTTGTTCATATTTAAGGTGCATCAGCTCATTCACCTGGTTTGCCATGTCTGAAGGTGACTTGCCAGTACGCCTCAGCTCATGAAGCACAGACTTGCAAATGGCCTTCTTGTAAGTTAGGAATGCTGGCAGAATGCTTGTGAACCGCTTTGGCAGTTTCCCCATCCACTGAGGACTGTCAGCAAACCAGATCCTCTTGCACATCCTGCAGCGAAGGCGTGAAGCAAAGATGTAATACTGTCCACTGGTGCCAACAATCACTCGAGGCCTACCCACACCAGCTGAGACTATATCTGGCTTTGGACAACCATGAAGACATGGGAGTATATAATTATTTCTTAGTCTCACCATGCTGTCACTTTCTGGTTTCCAAATAAAAAATGGATGGAGCTGAAAGAAATTGCGGGATGGGAGTGCTAACACAGTGTCAGTGAGTTCTGGCTGTGGAGGGAGACTGCATAATGAAAGTGCGTTTCCTGGCTTGAGCATATGGTGGGACCCAGGCCACAGTCCCAGAGATTGGAGCCCTGTCTTCATCCACACTTTCTGATGATAAGAACAGGTCCAAGTGCTTATATCCAGATCTGGTCTCTGTGCCGGTGGGGCAACAAAAACTGAAGGACCTGCTGTGGGAACAAGGATGAAAAACAAAAACATAATTGGTGATATGTAGTCATTTTCACACATTGTATTATCATCACAGATTGTATAATAAATTAAAACATATTTTGGCCATAGTAAAACCTTCAGAGTAGTTATAAAAACATCTTACTGTGTGGTGTCTCAGGTGTATGAGGGGATGATCTGAGTGTCAGTGGGGGAACAACAACAGAAGGACCACCTGAGAAAACGGATGAAAAAAATAAAAAGTAGATTAGTGCAATGTCATAACATTTACACTTTTGTTATATTCTTCTTATTATAGACTATATAATAAAGGACACTTTTGGGGCAGAGTAGCACTTGAAAAAAGAGTTATGAAAACATCTTACTGTGTGGTGGCTCGGGTGTATGAGGGGAAGAGGAGGATTCTGAAGGTGGGAGGGTTCCTGAAAAGATCAATGTATGGTTCAGTTAAAATCAATAAACTGTATTTACTTTATATTGCATCATTTATTTATTAACTTAGTTACCATATTTGTTACCACTGCTGTACAGCCTTGAAAAAACATTTACTTGAGAAGCAAAATGCCAGAAGTCATCTTGATTTTGTGTGTGTGAAAATGATCAAAATGAAGTGAGTTTATGATTAAAACAAGAACAAATGTCTGCCAGTGGAGTCAAAAAAATAAACTTAACTCAAAGGGAAAACAAGTTTTCATATCCCACTTACAAACAGTTGATTTTTAAGCATAAACTCACTTAATTCAGTTCAAATTCCCAAAGCAAAACTTTATATTTTAATTTTGCATCTCAAGTAAGTGTATCTTGATTTAAGGGTATTTGTACTGAAAAACAAGACAAAAATACTGAGGAACATATTCATTTTTTTTTCATGCAAAATGTAATGTCATGATGACTTTATGAATTTTAAGACTTTCTGTTCTAATTAAAATACATTTTTTAAGGCCTTAATTTTCTACCAGAGCAAAATTCTGGTAGAGTTACAATCTTACGATGTGATGCCTCAGCTGTCTGTTGGAGACTAAATGTAGTGGTTGCTGAAGAAGAGAGATCTTCTAAAAAGATGGATAAATAAAATTGTATAATTAGAATTTTTTTTTAACACAACATTTGAATAATTTCATTATGTCAAGTGCAATACAGCCTTACTGTTTTTGCCACATTCCTCAAAAGTAAGTGTCCTGCACACTCGAGAGGTGTCTATAGTGCTGCTGTCTCCTGTAACAGAATACCATTTATCTATTAACAATTATTCATACAAGAGGTGAGGAATTATAAATATTAAATGGGATTTTAAATACTAAACAATTACAATGTACAGTGTGACTTTAGAATAAAAAAAGCATCACAAAACCTAACATAAAACACACCTGTAGTTGAATCCATTCTCTCCACTTTTGTCGTATCTTTTACAAGGAACATCAACTCTTTAGGAATGGACACAGGTATTTTGGGGCGCATGGGTGGTGCTAAATAAAAGAAAAGATAAAAACAAAGAAGAAAAAGATCAATACCATAGTACATGAGACAAATGTTTGAATAGATGGACAGAATTACAATGCATTTACCATGAAATGGTGTCACTCGTTGTTGCTTTTCAGCAGGTGATTTGGAGAGGGAAACAGAAGGTACTGCAGGATTAAAAAATAATAATAATTAGGCATATTAGGTTTAAGGACAAAAACACCTTAATCGTACTTCACATGCTTGTCTTGTACAAAATAAAATGACATATGCCCAGGAGGAATGTGAACAAAACATGCAAAAACATGCATTTCATCATATGTTAGTAACATTTACGAGTTGCCAAAAGCGAGTACTTACCCTGATTGTGGCTGGTATCAATTCATGAAGGGGAAATCAATTCATAGTCCCCTGGGACATTTAGTTTATTGCCAACGGCAAACGCATTGTTAACGGAACAAGGCCGAAACATGGCCAGAACACTGAGAACACAAGGATTTATGTTCAGTCCTGGAGAGCATTTCATCTCACAATTCAACAGAACTGTGCTCCAGTGCTGAACCTCATGTGTAAAAACCTTTTTCCGTTTCCATAAACCACCCCGGTTCAGCTGCTGAGGATGATGATGGTGGCGCTGGTGGTAACACACAAAACAGTAAAACATTTGAGAGAAAACAAATCGGAAAATACAATTGATATAGTAAAGCACAGAAAGAAATCATACTTACATTGCACCTGTAGCTTGGTGTAATGAGGGTGAGGCGGAAGCCGAGGAAGAATCCATATGCGGATGTTTATTGAAGCAGTCCAACAAAACCAAACTCAGGGTCAGTAAAAACAGGCAATGAGGTCAAAAACACAGTAAGGCAGTCCAACCAGGCAAACAGGCAAAAGGGGTAATCCAAAAGAGAAGTCACAACAAACAGATAAACAGGTCATACACGTGGTAAGAAGGCAGAGATACAAACGCTTGGTAAGGCAGGATAAACTGGCAATACTTCGCAAAGTAGTCATGTGGTGGCCAGGTTAATATGGCCACTAAACAGGAAGTGGTTGCAGAGAAAGCAGAGGGAGTGCTAACAGTCAATACTCGGGCGAGGGCTCCCTCTGCTGGCTTGGTGTTAGAGAACCACCCCTCTAGGAGCGACTCCTGGCGCTCTGCGTGGGCGTCCCCGTGGTCGTGATGCTGGACGGTCGGGCCTGGCTCGATGAAATTCCTCTATGAGTGAGGGGTCCAATATATCGGAAGCAGGTATCCATGATCTCTCCTCAGGTCCGTATCCCTCCCAGTCCACCAGGTATTGAAGCCGACCCCCTCTACGCCTCGAGTCCAGCAGCATGTTCACCTTATAAGCTGGCGATCCGTCAATGTCCAGCGGAGGCGGTGGCTCTTGGGACTCAGCGTTGGGGTCAGCATTCGGGTGGACCGGTTTGAGGAGCGAGACATGAAATGATGGAGAGATGCGGTAGTTAGCAGGAAGCTCAAGCTGATATGTAACCTCATTTATCTGTTTTAAGATTTTGAATGGGCCAACATACCTTGGGCTGAGCTTCCTGCTC